ACTTCATTATAATGCTAAGAGCAACAACAGTGGAATTTACAAGTGTGAATTTTAACAATCAAAGCTATTATAATGACGAAACTTCAGTTTAACGTACTGCAAGGGTCGTAAATTTGCACTTTATAGCCGAAATACTGTACATCCGAGGTCAAACAAAATTAATGCTTTTGTGAAGTGCAGGGTCCTCAAAATAGCACCTCAGACTTCGCTTATCCGGATCCCTCGCCATATGGAAGAAAATAGCTGTTACAGATTTGCAGCATACGTGATGCATCCGACATAACCAGTGTTCGGCTATCCGGTTCCCTCGCCTATCCGGACATTCTTTGCGGAAAACTGATGTGTGCGGTTAAGCGAGGTCTCACTGTATAGCCCACTGCAAGAGTACTCTTGCCCATGATTAGTAGGTAATACATCCAGGGTACTTTAGAACGAACTGTTACATGACATCACTCACACAGTCAGTTGGTGGACAAGCTATTGACTAGCCACTCTCATTGTAATATCAAAAAAATTCTTTCTAGTCCAAAGAGTGGTATATATGATAAATAAAAATAGAAATATTTACGATACTTTTCCAGACGTTTCGTTGTTCTTTACCCACTGACGATCCACTGACGATGTTGTTCAGAGCAACGAAACGTCTGGAAATATTTCTATCTTTAGTTATCATAATTATAATATACCATGTACCACTCTTTGTACTAGAAAGAATTTTTTGATATCACTCACACAGTCAGTTGTCGATCACAAATTACTACTCTGCAGTGACTGGGTGCACCTTGGTCTGGTTGACCATGGATGTCGTAAAAATACGAAATCAGACAAGTGCAAGCACACCGGCTGCCGAAGCAGCCCTTTCGGACACAAGCACAGGTGAGCGATTCCAAAAACCAGAGAAATAATCAGCAGTTCGCAAGGAAGTTTCTCTTGGCACTGGGGGCACGTGCGTTGCCAGTAAGATCCAGAAACAGATCATACTGGGAGCTACAAAATACCAAAAGCCATTGAAGTTTTACACACCTTCTCGGATCGATTCGACCCAGTCGGCTGTCCGACGCAAGGAGCCCAGTATGCTCCCCAATGTGGCCATCTTTCTGCATTGTCCACCTCTATTGCTCATCATCCAGCAGTCTGAACCTCCACGAAACACGACAATCTTCGTCCAGGCAGTCAGGTTTCTTCTCTGCATTGGATAGTCCTCGATCTTTTCTTTGTTTTGTATTTCAAACTACGTCATCCGTTGACTTGGCAGATCTGCTCGGTCACATGCACATCTGGTGAAATAGCGCTGGTGCACCGATCTGGTGAAAAAGCGAAAAAATGCACACTCGCCTACAAAAAACGTGTTGCCGTGGTGACCAGTGGCTCCGGCGCTTCGCCATTTTGCGTCTTTTGACCAAAACAGACCGATTTGTGATAGGCACCGTATAAATACGGTAAATTCCAACTTAGAATCGGAAATCAACAGTTTTAATGGAGCATGATTCGAGTTTCGTTGTAGTTGCATCATGAATGACGTAGTGGCAACGGCAAACTGCAACAAGTGTTTCTTTCTTTTTGCAATGCTTTTGTGACCTTTCGCTTTTGCAACTGCAACACGTTTCCAAGCAAGAAGACCTTGCTGTTTAGTTTTTGATAGAATCTCGGAGAGTTTTCTGTGGAAGAGATTGCGAGCAGCTGGGGTTCTCTAGAGCGAGGCGAGCAGATACCCTTCTGCAGTCATGGTAAGATGGAACTTCGGCCCTCCGACCGTTACCGGGAAGCTACTGTCTAAAACCAGGATCTCTCTTTGCTTATCCGTTGGCTTGCTTTCTGGAATCTACAGCCGCAGAACGAACATATCGAGCTCGCTCAGAAGCGCCATGGAAAGCGTCTCGATCATGAGGAGCGCGTGTAAGTAGAAGTTTTGCTTCTTTTCGATGGCGAGAGGGACAAACAGAGGTTCGCCGTTCCCTTGCACGAAGGCGAAAATCAGGCCATAATCAACAAGCAGCTTGAGAATATCAAAAACATGAAATTGTAGATTTTCACATGTTTTTAGTAGCAACGTGATCATGTCGGGCAACGTGATCATGTCCTGGCTCAGGCCCTGTATGGGCTCTTAGCATTGAACCCGCACTCTATCAGTGTATGTTTGCATTGGTCATGAAAATGGTATGCCTTCCATGACATGCTGTATGCAATCTGAAGATATGTATGGATGTTAGAGAGAGAGAGAGAGAGAGAGAGAGAGAGAGAGAGAGAGAGAGAGAGAGAGAGAGAGAGAGAGAGAGAGAGAGAGAGAATACAGATGCAGATATAAAGAATATTAAAGATCTCTCTACATTGTCACGGGGCCTACCCTTTACCCACTCCTTGTTTTCGTAATAAAAAGTGGCAGGGAATGTTTTTTTGCATGGCCAGTAGTGTCTTGCAGTGTGATTGTGGAGACATCTGATCATGATGGTCCTGCTAAGTTAGTTGCAGTCACAATGCACTGCCATTGCCAATGTTCTGATGATGTTTCCGAGCGAGCTCCACCTGATCTTTTCTTTGTGTGTGCGTGTGTGTGTGTGTGTGTGTGCGTGCTTGGATGTGTGTGTGTGTGCATGTGTTTGCCGCCATTCTCCCTGACAGGCGCAAGAGAGAGGCGCGTAAGCCTCACAAGCTGGCCGACAAGGCCAAGAGCATGCACGGTCTCAAGTAAGTTTGGTTCCCTACAGGATGCGCTCCTACTCATCACCAACCTGACTGCACTTCTCTGTCCACTTGATGAAAATATAAATGCACCGTTTCCTATGGTACTGTCAGGCGACGAAGAACGGAGCGCCGAAGAACGAACAGCCTAGAATTTCACCAAGCAAAGCATGCCAATGTATACACGGTGACTCAACTGTGCATAGACTGTGCAGTGCATGGAAATATGAACAGTCTAGGCTACACGCCGGTTGTATCGCGGATGTGCGAACTTTTCTTTTTCCACTAGGAGCGTGCATGTAAATTCTAATCAACAACCTCAGTCGAGTGGCTGGGTATGGGAGATCCGGGTAAGGTAGGCTTGGGTGCCTTGTGTCTCCCGTCACCCGTCGACTTTCACTGCAGCTATGGTAAATGGTGTGTGTGTGTGTGCGCGTTCATTTTTTTACATGTGCATGTGATACCATAATATATTCTCTAATACAAGCGCTGCCCTTATTATTTCAACACCCCTCTACCCCGTGCTTATAATGTTTCGAAAGGCACTCACAGTGCGCCAGCATTAGAGACCTGCGCTAGTACTGGAGACCTGCGCTTATAAAAGAGAATGTACGGTACTGTATAAGTAGAAACACTAGTCCGGAATTTCTTTTCTTCGTTTTCGTCCAAGGAGTTTTCGGACTAAATTAAATCCCGGACTAACGTCGATTTTATCCAGCTTTTCAGTACATTTTACGGTCGATGGACGAAACTTTCGACCGTACCAACTCCCGTTCTTCGGAGGTGGACTTTTTCTCCGATGAAATTTTCTGCTTGTACGGTATGTGTGTTTTTGGGTATTGATACGTATTTTCGCTTGTCTGTTTGCCTGCAGGGCCAAGCTCTACCATAAGAAACGCCATGCTGAGAAGGTGCAGATGAAGAAAACGTAAGTACCGCAATCTTATAGTCAGTGTCTTGCACAGGTAGAACTACTGCCATGGTGAACATGGAAATCCAGTCGAATAACCGGGGCCGGCGCCCTCAGTCCGTACAGGGCATTGCTTGCAGCGCACTTGTTGATCCGTATGCGTAAATCTACTAGTACTCGCGGCTGCAGGGCCAGCACCCTCGGGCCGCTTGGCCTCCGACCGGATTTCCATGTCCACGACAGTAGTATGTATGTATCCTTCTGCTACCCATTGCCAGGTATGTACTGCCATGGCATTGGTCATGGCGTTGGTGGGCGGGCTTTCGAAATCTATTATGCCCATGTATTGACAGTTGTGGAAAGCCGTCAAACTTGTGCAAACTGGCGGTAGCGTGGTTGGCGTTTTGACATCTCTCTCTCGCTCTCTCTCTCTCTCTCTCTCACTGTCTCTCTCTCTCTCTCACTGTCTCTCTCTCTCTCTCTCTCTCTCTCTCTCTCTCTCATCCACCAGTATCAAGATGCACGAGGAGAAGAAGTCCAAGTCTAAGAAGGCTGACGTTGTTCCAGAGGGTGCCGTACCCGCCTACTTGCTGGATCGTGAGGGGCAAACCAGAGCAAAGGTCCTGAGTAACATGGTCAAGCAGAAGCGCAAGGAGAAGGCGGTGAGTGGCCGGTGTGTGTGTGTGTGTGTGTGTGTGTGTGTGTGTGTGTCTGTCTGTCTGTCTGTCTCTCTATCTATCTATCTGTCTCTGTGCATGTCTTTTCCTCCCTCCACCATCCCGAGCGCACGTTCATGGCATGCATGGGTCCTGATGTTGGTGGATAGCTGTTCGGGAGCCACATCCACACTTCCATCTTGTCACGTGACCTTGGCATATAGACAGTGAAAACCAACCATGGCAGTGACATAATGTGATCCATTGACGTCGGGATTGCCTGGAGGAAACTTATAAACCAACATGCGTAGCCAGTGACAGGTCCAGTGATGTGGAGATTGCCTGGAGTTGGAATCAACACAGCTAGTCGCAGATGCATTCATGTTGAGATTTCCTGAAAATTCGAACCAACATGGCGGCCTCGTATGGTGGTCTTGTGATAGGTCTGTGTGCATATCTACACATGTACATAACTGTGTGTACAAGCTAAGTTGTTACACTCTAGTGAAGCCTCTGCACGCCGACCGCTCGCGGGGATCCTCAAAACGTCGTCCCCGTGTATAGTTGCTCTGTCTATCCAGAGTCATGTTAGCGGCGGTGATGCCGTTTGGTCCTGGGTTTTGAGGTCCTCTACATTTTGTAGGACAGGTGGGACTCGCCTTATCAGAGTGATCGCCTTGACAGGTTTTACTATAATTACTTGCAATTGCAAAAGTGATCGATACCGCGAGGGCACGTGTGTGTCGTGTGTGTGTGTTTCTCCTCTGTCCTCTTGGCTAAAGAGCTGCTGGGTGTTGATTCTTTAGCTTTTGTTTCTTGTTGTATGCCTGATTTTGCCCAGGGCAAATGGAATGTACCGCTACCCAAAGTGCGCAGTATGGGTGAGGATGAAGTGTTCAAGGTAGTCCGTACTGGAAAGACAAGAAGTAAGTGGCTGTTTGAAATCTCTCCCTCTCTCTCTCTCTCTCTCTCTCTCTCTCTCTCTCTCTCTCTCTCTCTCTCTCTCTCGCTCTCGTTCTCCACCCTCTCCTTCCCTGGCTTGCTCTCGACGTCTAGTTTCACTCTCTATCTGCCTCTCCACCTGAGACTATTTTCATCCAACCTTGGTCTTGCTGCTTTTGGGGCATTTGTTCCCATCCATTCATATCGTCATTTCTGCTCTCTTAACTTTTTTCCGTGTCGTTTGTGTGTGCGTGTGTGTGCTTGCGTACGCGTGTGTTCGTATTATAATATACCCCCGCTGTCCGAACAAACAGGAAAAGGCTACAAGCGCATGGTCACGAAGGCTACATACGTCGGCGAGGACTTCACCAGAAAGCCCCCGAAGTATGAACGTTTCATCCGACCCATGGTGAGTGCTCTAGTTTTCCTCTGGCAATCGATATCCAGTAAAACTTGTAACTAAAGACCACTGTGACTAGCGACCAGCCTGGTACTACAGACCACTTTGCCAGGCACGGACGGACGGACGGTCTCACATTCATACAATTATGGTTGTACGGTGCAAACCTCTAACTAAGGACCACTTGCCACTAAAGACCGCATTCTCTGGCGCCAAGGGGTGGTCGTTAGTTACAGGTTTTACAGTGGTCAAAGCAGCTTTTTTGCAGAGCACAGTTTGTGCATGGCCCATATACTATGGGCACCACTGTGGTGTGTAACGTCCATCACGACCAGTTTTCAACACAAACCCGGTGGTCATGGTCTACATTGTATTGGTTTTTTTCTGTATGGATCTAACTGTGTGTGTGTGTGTGTGTGTGTGTGTGTGTGTGTGTGTGTGTGTGTGTGTGTGTGTGTGTGTGTGTGTGTGTGTGTGTGTGTGTGTGTGTGTGTGTGTGTGTGTGTGTGTGTGTGTGTGTGTGTGTGTGTGTGTGTGTGTGTGTGTGTGTGTGTGTGTGTGTGTGTGTGTGTGTGTGTGTGTGTGTGTGTGTGTGTGTGTGTGTGTGTGTGTGTGTGTGTGTGTGTGTGTGTGTGTGTGTGTGTGTGTGTCATTGCGTATGTGCTTGTTTTTGTGTGTGTGTGTGCGTGCTTGTACATGTGTGGTGTGGTGTGCGTGTCATTGTGTTTGCTTGATACAATACCACTGTGTAGGCTCTACGTTACAAGAAAGCACACGTCACACATCCCGAGGTAAGAATACGATTCGCACAGTGGGTGCGTTCGATTGCTGCCGTGAATCCATTCACTCTACTCACATGGGGTGATGTGAGTAGCCAGAGGTAATTCATGAATGGATTCAACATCGATTTGCGTGGTAATTCATGAATGAATTCAACATCGATTTGCGTGGTAAATCATAAATGGATTCAACATCAATTTGCGGGGGGGGGGGGGGGGAATCGAACACACTCAGTGCAATGGTGGGGACGTCTCCATGTGACCAGTGTTGAAGTCAAACTGCCCCTTGTCTTATATCATCACCGTCTCCAGTTGTGCCATGGTGCCCTGTATGCATGTGTGTGGATCTGCTCGCTGAGCTGCTCGCATTCTGCTCTTTGCATGCTTTCGTGCAGCTCAAGGCCACCTTCCAGCTGCCTCTTATCGGTGTCAAGAAGAACCCGTCCTCGCCCATGTACACGTCTCTCGGTGTGATTACCAAGGGAACCGTTATCGAGGTAGGTCCACGGCTCCTTGCATGTGACCTGAAGTTGTACTCACGCAAACGCATGTCACCTAGAGACTAAGAGTACATAGCTACCTAGAGTTCACGCCGAGTACTCTAGTTTCAGAAATTTTAGGCGCTCAAAATTGTAGGTATGACGGCAAAAGGCCAGGTTAGGTGAACAGAAAACGTAGGCACGGAGAAGCAGTTCCCAATTAGATTATGTGTGTTAGGCCTCGGTCACACTACGGCAAGTTTGAAGCTGGACAAGCGGCGTCTAACCCCAACACTTGACGCTGACGTGGAGTCGCACTGCAATTTTTCTTTTGCTGTCGTGGCCTTACGCACTTCAAAAACCACTGTGTGGCGAACCGAATCCCTGTGATAGAGTACGGTGCGGTACGCTATTTTTCAAAGGACCCTGTTTTTCATGCTAGTGCATGCAGCGGCAATGCAGCCGATTTGCTCGCGTCATACGCTGCTGCATACGACGCTCAAATTTCCCGCGTTTTCGTCAGGTGCCATTGAAAAACTCATGATTCTGACCCTGATGCAGCATTTTTGCCGTAGTGTGACTGTGGCTTAGTGTTTATTGTGGCTAAATTTTAGTTATGAAAGTGATGCACCCAAAGTACCGAAAAATTATAGAGTCAAACTATTTCCTAGGCTGGGCGGGCATGGACTTTTTCGCATGGAAAATTATTCTATGCATTGTGTACGAGAATTGATCTCACTCATATGTTGAGCAGGTTGTTTGAAACTCACCGGTTGCACAGCATCTTCTGCTGCCGCGGCACTACTTTCAATAGTGTCATTGAAATCCACGCTCAGGGATATGTTATCGACATTGCTTTCGAGTGTAGCGGTGTCCAATTTTGATCGAGTGCAAGAGTTTGGGGCTGAGCAATTTTGGTCTTTTCAAGTGCTGTACAGTGCTGAAAGTATGTGTGCTGTGCATTTACTGTGTGTCCCTCCCTCTCATTTTCTCTCTCTCTCTCCCTCTACCTCTCTCACTCACTCTCTCTCGCTCTCTCTCTCTCTCTCTCTCTCTCTCTCTCTCTCTCTCTCTCTCTCTCAGGTAAACGTCAGTGAGCTTGGTCTAGTCACACAAGGTGGAAAGGTGGTCTGGGGAAAGTACGCCCAGGTGACAAATAACCCAGAGAATGATGGCTGCATCAACGCCGTTCTACTTGTATAAACTCAAACTTAAAAAGTTAGTCATCTTCTTGTACAAAATAGGCTTAGGCAATCTCCATGAAAATCAACACTATCATCATGAAAGGTGGCTCCAGCTGCCAGCATTTGTAAATACTCAACTCCAATTGCTTCTTCTACTACATACACTCCCCTTCGGCTTGAGCTTGTGTGTGTGTGTGTGTGTGTGTGTGTGTGTGTGTGTGTGTGTGTGTGTGTGTGTGTGTGTGTGTGTGTGTGTGGTGTCCTCCTGCGTAAATTATTTTCCTCGTGGCAAAGTGTTTTCGCATCCGCAACCGCTGATCCTAGTTTCCTGCACTGGCCTTTGGCGTGGGCCCAGTTTTATCTCTGCCACTTGTACATATCTTCCCGTCCCTGTTGTCCAACTCTCCCCGCTTGACGCTTCAGAGTCGGAATTTGCGGATGTAAGAAAAAATGTTGTCATAAAAATCAACTTGTGTCATGGTTTTTGTCTTGTTGGGTATGGGAATTGGGGGGGGGGGGGGGGTAGCGGCTCTGGTCATTGGTCAAGGTCTGGACCAGTGACAATGATTATGATAGCCAAGAATTCTATCCACCGTGAACCTTGATAATAATTATCAAGAGTGCATTGAACCAAGAGTGTGCAGCTCCGCTCTAGAGCTGCGATGGTCTCGCCCGCAGGGATTTTGTTATTGCGTCACCTTGGGCAGAAGTGTGATCCTGTGCATAATCTTCCGCTCGTCTCGTGTAGCTGCTGTGACAATTCACTACGTTTAGGATGCCTGAACCTACTGTCTGTTGTTCTGCTTCGCCTATCGTAGCTACGATCTGCAAGATCTTTGTACTTTTGAGCTCTGGCTACGCATGATGGCATCAGTGAGTCAAATGGCCACGAAAGACTGGTGCCATGGAAAATTCTGCTATGGGCTGAGAGATCGTGGTTGCACACTATCGGCGATATACTCTCTTGATGATATGAAAATAGAAATCCTGTGCAAAGCTTCGCCTTACCGAGAGCGATTGCATGCAGATACGGCAGTGCATTGCACCGACCTGCATGGTTCGTCCAACTCTCTGACGCGGGGGGGGGGGGTATTTTCTAGGCCTCTGACGGTGCATGGTGTGCTGACATGTCACTGCAGTTGACAGGCCCGTCACTTGCTGACGGAGTATCGTAGCACCTCTGCCACCCTCTCACCAGGCATTCACGGCTGGCTGGCACCAGCCGGGGAGCATTGGTGTGCGAGGAATGAGACCCGCAGGCCCCGCCATATGTGTCCACTGACCTTCACAGCGATAGCCCTTTATGTATGTGCCACCTGTGCATCTTTGAAAATGAGGCTTGTATTCAAAACAGGCTTCTATCCGAGACAGGCTTGAATAAAAGACACCCAGGCCACACAGCTTAGCTGCTTTAAACTACTTTGCGACTCCCTGGTCCACACCTCAATACGAAACCGTGGAAGAACCGACAGACTCCACGGCGAGCGGGCGGGGGGGGGGGGGGGAGCATTCAACTACCGGTACTTCTTATGGCGGGACCTTGTTTGGCTTTAGAACCGAGTCTTATAAACCGGGCTTATACGACTCCCTGTTTTAGAAAATACATTTATTTCAGAGCCGCTGGTTTTGTTTGGTCACTGCTAGACGGACGGTCAGGATGGCTATGGGGTTAGGAAAAGCCGCTGGCACTGCTAGCTGGTCGGGATGGCTATGGGGTAGGGAAAGCCGCTGGCAGTAAACAAGGAGTACTGGGATCAACATTATACACTCTTGTTGTATAAAAGCCGCGGCATACATGACTTTTTGGGCGAAATTCCGCAGCCTTCTTCTATATGAGACAGGCTTATACCGGTGGTGTACAAGACTGGTATTTCTACGTGTATGTATGTCAACGCTAAAACCAGGCTTATGTGCCGACAGTGCATCTTGAAAATCAGGCTTCTATTAAAGTCAAAATAGGCGTCTACTAGTACCGTAAAGTACCGCCAGAGCGCCCCGTCTCGCGAGAGCGCCCCACCTTGATTTTACAGCCAGAGAAAGGAAAATCGTATGGCAGAGTGCAACGAAGTGTGTACGATGTAAGAATCTTAGTGTACTAAGGTCACACTTGGCAGGTTTTTGTGTGGAGCTTGTGTCCTCTTGAAGGTACGGATTGACTGCAAAACGTGCAATATGTGTACAAGGTTCATGTCGTATGACCTACAGACAGCAGACCCCCTCCACAATACGACCACGAAAGGATGAGATGGTGGGGCGCTCTGGCGGTACTTTACGGTACATGTATGCGAGGCCGGTTTTAATACAAGACACTACGCCTCCGGTACATGGTATACACCAGTGTTACCATGGTTACGCTACATCGCGAGGTGTCCAGGATCGAGTGGTAGGTATTTCATTACTCCCTGTTTAGCCTCAGGACATGAGCAGTGCTGTGGATGTGTGCAATCGATTCATGGACACTTCGATGGTCTCCTCCAGAGCGCTTCTCCGCACACAGTTGCGGAAAAGTGGCGAAGTACATGTAGTTTGTGAAAATGAAGAAAGTTGCGAAACGGTTGCGATTTCTTCCAACACAACAAAAAGTGGCGAGCATCTTTGGGAAAGGGCTAGCAATCCCATCTCCCGATAATTATTAGCCCCCGTTTTCTTTCGACGCGTTTGCTGTGCAGTGAAGCCGAGACCCTAGGTCGGTGGAGCACATCAGACCCCGTCACCACGTCCACGATTCATGCCTGCGATGCTGCAACGCTGCTTTGCATGTCATGATTGGAAGCTGTGGCCTTAGTAAAAAAAATAAAAAATAAAAAAAAATCGTGCACCAGCCTACAAATTACCTGATCACCTAACATGCACTTCCGCCTGCTACTACTGGAATTCCGCCACCTTGCAGTTGATTTTCCCCATTTCTCTCCTCATCAAGCCCTACTTGTCTTTGTACATACATGTACATGTACTACATGTACTGTAGTAGTACTGTTCTTTCAATCAAAATTAATGAACCCCTCGATAGGCACATTGCCTTTGGGTCATTTCATAATAATACTACTACCGATACATGTATGATGCACAGCAATTACCGTGATGACTGTCATGTACGTTTACATTGTACATTGTATACATGTTCATGATTGCATAATCAGGGTGCTAGCCTGATATGTCTGATTTCAATTATTTAATTGAGAAGCCTCCCGTGGAAACTCATGCAGTAGAGTCAGCAAAGTGTTTCCTGCTCATACAGCAACACCACCACCCCATTATACCACCCCATACCACCAAGTCACCGCCGGTAGTTGTTCTTCTTGTATGCTTTATTGTGGGAATCGAAACAGCTTGGCATGAGCCTACAAGTACATGTACTGCAGGGGCGTACACCGCTCGCCTCCAGGAGTGGTTCCCATGCCAACTGATGCACCAACATTCACACAATTGAAGTGCTGTTTTTCGTATCCCACGGAGTTTCTGCATATTCTCCTCAGGCTGGGTGAAATTAAGGGTGCGTTCTTAAATCCTCTCGGGAAAGTTGGAGACTCTCCGAAAAGTTCGAGAGCTGTTCTTATATCCTCTCCGAATTTTAGGAGGCTCTCCAAAGCTCTCCAAGCTCTCCAAGCTTCAGTTGAAACTTGGAGATTCCCGCGGTTTGGGATCAGCGCATGCGAACTAGGCTAAAACAGAAAAGCCAAGTGTTGATCATGAGTGTACGCATTTCCCTTTTCGCATACGCACAGCGCATACTATATTCGTGGCACTCAAGATCGCGGCCCCTTTGGCGCTTCATTTTGCTTGACATCTGCACAATATCTCCGAATTCTTCGAGACCCGTTCTTGAAGAATCCCAGTTTCTTCGACTTCTCTTTTCTTCTTCTCCTAGAAGCTAGAGAATTTAAGAACGCACCCCTACATCCACAAGCTGCTGGACGATGATGTCATTACTACGCATTATTTTATGATTTTTAAAAAAGGACAGAAGCTTTCCCCGTTTTATGGATGTTTTGTTCAACATGACGATTGCATGCGGTCTTGAAAGCTGCCTAAGTTTCGAATCATCTGGAGCAAACATCACACAGGGCAAGCAGAAGCCACCATTGCATGCCTGTCAAAAGACTACCCAGGGTAACTCCTCTAACAAGGGTAGTTGAGAGTGGCGCTGTTTGCCATCCGTCTGGACACGCACAGGAAGCGAAATCCTTCGCCTTCGGTGGCGCACAATGATTGTCGATGACGGAAATCTTTTCCGTGTCCAGCAAATTTCGGGGGACTGGATTCCGCTGTGGACGTCGACTTTCAGAATATCCCGTCCAACACACTTCCATGTTGTGGTGAACACTTTCACCTCTGCGCCCTGGGTTCACTCTTGCATCTAAAGGGCTACATGCTTCTACACGAACTCACACTCATCACAGCGACCTTGCCATAAATAGTAAATACTTTCAAGCTTCTATCTTTGCCTCTCTCTCCAAAACTGTAAAAGTCAAAAAGCCCCGAAAAAGGATGGCACATGCGCCTCACAAGCGGAGCTGGGGAAAGCAAATGACGTCGCGTAGAGCCGACGTGAAAAAAGGGAAGTAGTAAAATTATAACTAAGTAATCGAGATTCAAATCACGAAGCTCGCGTAGTCTACGCGACACACATCATGTCATTGAAGTTAGTTTTGGATGATCCAGCAGCTTCCAACAACGGTCGCTCTACAGCTTCGCCGACGATTTCTTCCTCAACGCTGCTCGTTGGATGCAGACTTCGCTTGCAAGTCAGGTGCGTCTGCATTCTCATCTATCGCTTGACCTTCGCCACTAGCACTGGCTACACGCTTTGTCTGCAGCTCAAAATAGCTCTGAATAGAGCGCTGGCCCTCTGGATGTCGACGCTTCATTTTTTCTTTTCCACAAAGCGAAAGCATTGTCAAAACACGACCAACTAATTACTTTGTCAAAACAAACTCCAAGGGAAAATTTGACTCTCAGATCGAGGAATCCGGCGATGTAACTACAGTAGAGACTTTGTTGAACCCAGTTCAGTACGCTGTGTCCCAGCACTACTTTCACACCTGGGCTAGTCACCGTCCTTGATCGGACCGTCAGGCGGATGCCAGGCATGCACTTGCACTGTGAGCGCTGGGCCTGGATCAACAAATTCTCTGTACCCACATGGAATTTTTTTACTGGTTCCCGGGCATCCCGGGAACCGCCCTATGTACGCCCCTGTACTGGTGTGGAAGGTTGTAGTAAGGTCACACTGTTTCCTAACACAGTGTCCTCCACCTTGTTTCATGCTGTCAATCTAACAATAATAATGTGTGAACTATACAAGGTTTATCTAATTCTGGTTTTGAACCAGTATTTATAATAGATTATAATAATAATTACTAGTATGTTCTGGTATCACGTATGTAGAACATGACATTTGTATGTACAGTGTACATGTACAGCAAAACCTGTCAAGGCAACCACCCGGATAAAGCGACCACCTGTCCTAGAGGACCACTTCAAATTTCCAGTCAAACTGTGACCCTGGATAAGGAGACCACCTGGTAACTGAGACCACATTTTTTAAAGGTCCCTTGAGCGGTCGTCTTAGACAAGTTTCACTCTATTAGCAATGGACCCACTGGCTATGGAATACCTGTACATGTATCCGTAGAATCAAGACTACTGAGTAGATTCTACATGTGGGAACATATTCACTCTTGCTAGAATCTACATTCCATACTTTCACACAAAAGGTACAATGGAGGTTACAGATTTGTCGCAACTCAGAGTCAGAGTTTCTTGCGGAATGCAATGCAATCATCAGGCGACTTCCTTACTTTCATGTTGTGCGTGAGGTTCGTGGCTCAACGTGTGATCAATGGGGAAATCCCCTTGTCTGAGAGACACTCACTGCACGCCGAGTGCACGGACGGGAGGGCACTTGACCGAACATTTGTCAGAAAAGTCACCAAAGTGGGCTGCCCTTTCCCTGGAGTCGGCCTGCGAATGCGGAACGCTGAATCACTGGTTTGCCATTCTTGTACGGCGGTGCAACCAACTCTGTCATTCATTTTATTGCCCCATGGCCCATTCAACAAAATTATAATTCATCGCACCAACGAACATGAGACCTTCAACAACAGTTGAAAGATTTCGTCTTTTGCGCTCCACCCGTTTTTAGCACAACACAGAAACCAACAATAAGTCATTCAACAGCAAAAAGGCGTCGTCGTTGTGCTCCACTCGTTAGCGGAACACAGAGCAGCATAGACAGTGGCTGGCAATGGCGAAGTCACGCTAACGAACATAAGTCATCATCAGTCAACAACAAAAGGCTTTAGCCTCAGTCAGAGTCGTTATTATGACGGAGTCGTACAAGAATTAGAATGATTAGAATGATGGGTTCCCCTCCCTGGACCGGTTATCATCCTGCGGGTCACACTCGACCTCCACTGGCTCCAGTCATACAGTCAGAATGGTCATCACGTTCAGTCATGGTCATACTCAAGCCAAGGCGTGAGATTTCGCTAGGCCACGAAGCTCGCCGGGCGCTGACAGTCTGTTTCAGCATCAGATGTTGGTGTGACGCGTTCGGTTGCCCCCGCGGCCTGCATGGATAAGGAGTCCGGAGACTGGCAGAGTGATGGGCCGATGCGAGGCGCTAGGCGGCTGACAAATCCGTGACCCAACTCACGCGGACACATCAGGTGCTCGCAACGCAGCGCACAGCGTCTAGACCGGTCCGGAGGGCTGCACTTGACACCTCGAAACGGACGGCGATGCCGTGCGTGTGCAAAGGCCAGCCCAGGAGTCGAATTATTTCTCTGGAGTTGCAGTTTTCGGCACGAGTTTGTGTAGCACCATCGGCAGGGAAGAGTAGCGTTATTGGTGAACGTACATTCGCAGCAGTTCTTCATGAAGTCGTAGAAGCAGCGCCTCCTGTTTGGTAGACAATAGGATAGCATACTGTTTCTGCGGACGTAAGTCGCTATGAGCGCACCGGGAGGGCAGCAGAGAGACGCAGAGAGAACGTATTACGACGGTCCACTGGACCAGAAGAATGGCAAGGTAAGACAATTGATATTTTTGCTCACGTCGCAAAAGCTGCATGCTCTCCTTGAACGGGTACGGGTGTGCTGTGTTTGTCGGTCGTCGGAAAAGAAGATTCGGAAGCGTCCTGTGCTGCTGGTTGTAGACGTATGCGCTGTGCGTGGCTGTAGACCGCAGGAGCAAGTAGCTTTGCACATCGGAACCCTGGCATATGAGGCTATGGCCTAGCGATGCGTAATGGGGAGAATCTAGCTGGTTGAGCGTAAATTACGAAATCCTAAACAAATATACACCTGCCTGCTAGTGCTGGCTTGTTACGGGGAGCACTGCAGACGCAATTGTTTCACCCAACGGAGCAGCAGAAAACGCAGACTGTCGTGATTGAAATATTATTCTTTTCGTGATGCATAGTGCAGTTCACGGGCAGGCCAGTGGCGTTAAACTCCAAGCAGCCAATATTCAAGAACGTGTGAATGCTGTGACGAAGGCATTGCGGGCCCCTGTGCTCCATCCGGCTGCAACTAAACGCACTCCATGCACTGTAGGAATATTGGTACACTATTAAACAGTGGTTGTGTGTAAGCTCTCTGAGTCACCGGCACTGTTCGATTACCTCTGATCAAAGCCCCCCCCCACACACACACACACATACCCACACACATACACACACACATACACACACACACACACACACACACACACACACACACACACACACACACACACACACACACACCTCAGACCTCAGACCTGCCCATCGCGGAAGCGATGATAGCGAACAGCTATGTTAGACATAGCAACTTGTGCTGGGATTACACCATTCAACAGCGTGCAAGGCTGACGAATTGACCGCCACTATTTTTAGCCTGGTATCCACCACACAGCTGACACACACACACACACACACACACACACACACACACACACACACACACACACACACACACACACACACACACGCGCGCGCTCGCGCGCTCTCTCTCTCTCTCTCTCTCTGTGCCGCAGTGTTGGTGCATGTATTCGTCCAGCACCATGGCTTCTCGAAAGTGTACAGGACACGCTCAATCCTCAACAGATGCATGATGGTGGTAGCCTTCTGCATGAGGGGATCAGCGATGAAGGGTTTCTGCCGATAAGAGAATCCACCCAAAGCCGTTATGGGGACTGTGTATCACGCAAGTGATAAAGTCTCACAAAAGAAAAGGGTGTACTCCTGCCACAGTAGATCACGCGGTTTACTCCTGGAGCGATGCAGAGGGTGGGTATGTGTAGTGTAGTCATGTTAATGAAATCCTGCCTCAACGATAAGCTACTGCCTTGCTTTCATGGTCGCACCGCCAAGGCTGCGCAGTGCCCAGTGCTGAACGAACTTGAGAATTGGGATGCCGGATTTCATCGATCGCGACTGCAGTACAATCATGCTGTGTGGTCCGAGCGTGGACGCTCGGCAAGCGATTTCTCTTTTGACAGGTGTGTAATTGCACAGAGTTTCACATCTATCAGTGCGACACATTGTACACACACAGGCAGGTGGATGGGTGTCAATGTAAGCGTACTTGTACCTAGGTGTAAACGTACAGTCCGTATTGCCTATAAGGTTGGCGGCTATAGTGATCAACTTCTCAAATTCATTTTCATTTGCCATAACTAAGTATGCACAGTTACCGCGATAGTAATAATCGGCTATAGTAATAATTATATCGCCTATAGTGATCAAATTCAATTTTCAAAAGACCTCTACTGCACTATTTTTGCATCGGCTAAAGTCATTGATATGGAATCAAGTGATGTCAGAGGCGAACAGGAAGTTACTTCTTTGCGAACATTTTGCCAGTTGGTGTTGTTTCACTGACATGATGAGTTCTACCTGTAGTACATGTATAAGTTGTCCAAAATACCTCCTGTCCATTCACGTGAGGATATGCTGACGATGTGGGCCGTCAGGGGCCTTGGCTGCACAGGCATGATAGGGTGCATTTCTCAAAGTAGGAGTACACAGGACTTAAGCTGCAACCAACTATGCAGTGTGTATGTGCACGGCGCGTTGAGTCTTTTGATTCCCCACTCGCATACAGCACACGCAGTATCGGTCATAGTAATAATCGCTTAGAGTGATAAAATGCTCAACGCTATAGGCGATACTGACTGTACCTGGGTGTAAACGTACCTGGGTGTAAACGTACCTGGGTGTAAGTGCACCTGGGTGTTAACGTACCTACAAGCGCACCCTACTAACTAAAACCTATAAAGTAAAATCACCTCAGAGACCCAAGCCATAACCTCCTGATTACGAAAGGGCTTGGCAACATGGAGTATATGTGCCTCTCAGGCCTTGGTCACACTGCGTCAAATTTGAATCTGGACGCAGCGTCAAGCCCAAGCACTTCAGGCTGACGTAGAGTCACACTGCCCTTTTGCTTTTGCTGTCGTGGCCTGACGCACTTCAAAAACCACTCTCTGGCTACCCAAATCCCTAGGATAGAGTACGGTATGGTACGCTATTTTTAAAAGACACTGTTTTGAAGTGTGTTTTTTCATGCAAGTGCTTGCAATGGCAGCGGCATCACAGCCGATTTCCTCGCGTCGGACGCTCCAATTTCCCCGCTTTTTCATCAGTTGCCATGGAAAACTCATGATTCAGACGCTGATGCAGCATTTTTGCCGTAGCGTGACCGGGGCCTTAGGTGGGTTAATTGGGAACGGGAGCGGGGGGGGGGGGGGGGGGGGAGGGGGGGGGCTCATTGGACAGTAGTAGGGAGGAACCATTGGGCATTCATCGCACATCCGTGACCTGTGCTTGGTACTGTAAGTCTACAAATCTCGGCCTCCCAGGGCTAAAACACATTTTTTCCGCATCAAATCTCTCGCCTGTACTGCTGCCGCCTGTATACACCGTCGCACTGAACCTTGCAAAACAAATTTCGGCCGCAACAAATTTTCGGCCAAACACAACCAGGCCGAAAATAGCCGAAAATAAATACGCGCCGGATATTTGTTGAATTACAGTACTGAAAAGTGATTAGAGTTCTTCTCAAGAAACGTCAGCCATCTGCATACAGTCGAGTCACTGGAGCTATAAAGGGACTCAAAAGATGCCTCCAGATTACATACTGAAAAAGCCGCATCCAAAGCAAAACGGAGCATACACAGCCATGCATCCACCCCGGCTGAGAAACACCCCGGGTGTGTCGTATAGAGGTGGACAGGTTTTCGTATCTCGCTCTATTCATATGTTCATGTTTCTTCTACGTACATAGAAAATCCAGTACAAAATCACATAAAACCTAAAAGGCAACATTTTTCCAAGCCTGCATTCAGACTACACATTTTACATGCAATATACAGGCAACCTTTGACCCTACGAAATTGCGCAATGGGCCTGGGATGTGTGAAAGCAGCGGACAGTCGTACCCGGGTACAAAGTTCGTACAACTGCCTGGTGAAAGTACGATAAATGCAGGAAAGTTGCCTTGCACAAGGGTTCGCACCCTGCCTGAAAGGATTGGGCAGCTTTTTAGGCTTCCCGCCAGATTCTTGTTGTTGTCTTGGAAACTTCTATGTAAATGTGACTTATAGGCTGTTTTGTACCTAGTCTGAAGAGGGCCTTACGGAGACATCACATTAAATCTAACCCGATTGATTACCTTGGAACAATAAGGATGGGTATGCATGCAACCTCATGCATAACTGGCTCAATGGCCAAGTGGTAAGGCGTCGGTCTTGTAAACCGAAGATCGAGGGTTCGAACCCCTCTTGGGCCTGTACTTTTTGCTTCTTTTTTTGCACGAGTCCAAACGATCCTACAACTACTTGTAGCAAGAGTACATAACCCCTAAGAGTGTGCAACTCCCACATACCCTGTTGTCCCGACAGAATTTCAAGTTGACGTCATTATTTATGACGCAATGCTCCTTGCAGCAGTGATTTACAACATGTGTACGGGTGTCAACGCATCACACGTTTTTCTTTGCAATAATTTGTACAGGACCGATCGGCTTCGGTCAACCACAGGTTCCGGATTCGTCTGATAATCCGTGTACAGTGCGCATTGCATCATCTAAATGACGTCAACTTGAAATTCTGTCGGGACAGCACCCATAGTGGAGTTGCACACTCTGGGGGGTTATGTACTCTTGCTTGTAGGTAGTCCAGCCACATTGGCCACTATTGTGATACACATATTGCAGGGTTTGTGTGACTTCCTATGAGCACAGCCATGCAGTGAAACCTTGTTCAGTGTGACAGTGTATACAGGCGACAGCAGTACAGACCAGAGATTTGATGCGGCCGAAATGGGTTTTAGCCCAGGGAGGCCGAAAGTTTGTCGACTTTCAGTAGAGGATTGCAGTACACGCCATTGCACGTTTGTTCCTCAAAATTATTCTACATGACATGTATATATGGGGCTTCTGTATGCCCTAGACTTTACCCATACATGGCCATTCAGCCATTCAGCTGGCTCCCATAGAAGGGAATTTGGCATTGCATATCCTCGAAGCATTCAGCTGGTATATGAGACCAACGTGATGGGTTCCCATTGTACAGACGCAGTACCGAAAGGGACGTGGTTGTTCAGACCAGGTGGTTGCTAGAACTGGGTGATCACATGACTGTGTACGTAGGTTTCACCTCTACAGTGCACACAGGGGTCACTACGGTATTGACCGTACCACTATTTGCCCCAAGTACCCTGCGAATCAATAAAATGCGCTGATTTGGGCTCTAAATTTCCAAAATTTTCGGCTCAGCCATCCCCCCACGAGTAAATTGTACTTCAGATGGCTGACCGTACCACACAAAAATACCTTCCGACGCCCTTGACACTGTGAGATACCGAATTCAAATAAATCTATACAGTACAATACAATACACTGATGCATGGCCAGTGGCCACTGCTCAGTAGTGGCCATGCATCAGTTCAGTCCTATGCGGTTGAAAGCGGGATCAGTCTGTGCATGAGAATCGTAGACTATGTGGTAAAGCTTTGACTGCAAACACTAAACACACACCGGTGTCGGACGTGTTTGCAATATCAATGCAAGCCCGGCATCGTATGCACTGTCGGTGCTACTCCGTGCACTGTGAGCCAGAGAGCAGTAAAATACACAGAGTATATTCACATAAAGAGGATGTCACTCTCGATTGTAAATTTTACTACTCCGTGCACTGTGAGCAAGGGAGTATGTATTTTACTACTCCGTACACTGTGAGCCAGCGAGTAGTAAAATACACTACTATGTATTTATAATTTTACTACTCCCTACTGTGAGCGCTTTGAGCATTGCATTCACGGCTTGAGTGCTTACGCCGGAATTCTCACCTAGTGCTGAGTCATCATTGCTATCCCATGTGCTGGCTCAATGGCCAAGTGGTAAGGCGTCGGTCTTGTAAACCGAAGATCGAGGGTTCAAACCCCTCTTGGGCCTGTCTTCATAGTTCTTTTTAGACCTTTTTTTGCCCCCGTTTCTCTGTTCGAAATGATTAACTTATAGGCCATTCACACGACGTGCAAATTCACTTTTATCGTACCGTTTCCAAGTGTATTTACTCGTATACGATAAACTTGGACACAAGCGTGCAACAGATTTTGGAAATTGGTCGGCACCGAGTCTTGTGCTCACGATTACACTTTGCACGTGAGCAAAAACGACGGTTGTTGAAAGTGCGCGCTGCAAATGTAGTGCGTGATCTATCATGTCAAAAAGGAAAATTCAAATTGCGGAAGGCTCACTTTCTCTCGCTTTGAAAAGAGAAAGTGAGCCTACCTTATACGGTATTCACATGACGTGCAAACACATGTGTGACCAAGAAGTCACTTGCAAACCGTGACCCGGTTCACACCGGGTGCTGGGCGCCAAACATCGACACGGTAGAACTGACCAAGGGTGGCTGTGAAAGGATTAAACTGACCCAGGGCAGGTAGCCATGATTGTATTGAAAGCAGCGAACACCAAGAACGCAGCGACATTAGCACTGTGATGACAGTGCTCCTGGGTTCAAGCTGCGTCATAGTGGTTGCATGGGCTAAATAAGGAGTTAGGAATCTCCTGAGGTGATGCACGTCCAGACTTTCTACCCGGGCTGTCGTGGTCCTACTCTCATCTACTTATAATAAGGCAATAAGCAGAATCAGCGAAGCGGACATTGGACATAGTCATGAACAAAAATAAAAGATGGATAAAAAAGATGGATAAAAAAGATGGATAAAAAAGATGGATAAAAAAGTTTCCAATACTTATACTTGTGTTGTAGCCCACCAATGGAGTGTTTGCCATAGGGGCCCCAATACGTGGGCACGTGTGTGATTATGTGTACAGTCATGTACGTTGTCATGAGTGCTTGTGTGTGTGTGTGTGTGTGTGTGTGTGTGTGTGTGTGTGTGTGTGTGTGTGTGTGTGTGTATGTGTGTGTGTGTGTGTGTACGTGTGTGTGTGTGTGTGTGCACGTGTGTGTGTGCGTGTGTGCATGTGTGTGTGTGTGTGTGTGTGTGTGTGTGTGTGTGTGTGTGTGTGTGTGTGTGTGTGTGTGTGTGTGTGTGTCGGTCCTGCAGTGGTCTAGTTATTGGGGAGTGCTGAAAGGCAGCTGGCTGTATTTATTCAAGGACCGTTCTCTGCCACAGGTGAATGTCTGTCTGTATGTCTGTCCATCTGTCTCTCTGTCAGCCTGTCTGTCTGTCCGCCTGTCTGTCTGTCTGTCTGGCTGTCTGGCTGGCTGTTTGTCTGTCTGTCTGTCTGTTTTATTTTGGCGAAAGCTTGATATCTGTCTGTCTGGTTATTTCTCTGTTCATTCATCTCTCTTTCTATACATTTGTCAAGTTGTTTGTCTGTCCGTTCAGGCAGTACGGGTCCAGTAGTTATAGATGAGTTACAGTAGAATAATATTGAAACTCACCTCCACGGGCAGCAGGGAAGTTTGCTTAGTAGTCGAGGTACTTCAGTCTTATCCCAACATATTCCGGTATGGATGAACACACTCGTGCTCCAGACAATGTACGTACTAAGCATGAACATGTGTGTAGTACGCGAACGAGTGACACGGCAAAACTGGTTCAGTCTCTCCGACTCAAAACACAAGTAGTAATAGTATTCTCAGGGAACAATATTGCACTAAGTGATTGCACGAAGAGACAATGTTTAAGTCCATCTACTGCAATGTGTTATCTGAGTACTCAATCTGCGGACAGAATTGTTTCGTCCTTTGTGGACTCATCAGCACAGTACAGAGAAAATGAGGCCAAACCTGATAGCAATGAAAAATAGATGTTGCAAAGCCAGATTTAAACCAGGCCCGAACATAATTATCTTGCCAGAGTGCTCAAACTGACAAGTCAGTGAGCTCTGCGTAAGCAGCGTAACACAAACAGCAAAGGCACTACCCCACAAGAGAGTGCTCAACTGCTACAAGAGCAGGAGAGAAATTCTCAATCTGCGCTGCAGAGTACATACTATCAGCAAGTTCCACATGATCTTGATGAACAATGTAAAAAGAAAAAAAAAGATGAATTACAAAACGGTCCAAACTGTCCCCCGGCGCAGAAGCTATTTCAACTGCTGTCATTATGGTTTGTTTGTGTTCTCCGCAGGCAGTTGCTACCTACGCCATTAACTCACAGACACAGGTGGTCGTCAGCAAGACGGTGCCGCCAAATAGCTACCAGTTCTTCGTTTCTACGGAAACCGGGGCTCAGCTAAGACTACGCGTAAGGACCCTGGGTTGCTTTGCCCTGTGATGCCCGGGAATGCCCTGGGATGCCCTGTGATGCCCTGGGATGTCCTGGGATGTCCTAAGATGCCCTGGGATGCCCTGGGATGTCCTGAGATGCCCTGGGATGGCCTTTGATGCTCTGGTTCCTTGTGATGCCATGGGATGCCCTGGGATGCATTGCCGCTACGTTGTACAGGCTGTTCCGGCCATGATCTTCATGACCAATTGTTGTGTCTTTCCCTGCCATGCATTGCCGCTACGCCGTACAAGCTGTTCCAGCCACGATCTTCATCACCAAGTGTTGTGTCTTTCAGCGCACACAAACTACATGTTTGAGATTTGAAGACATGTAAAATTCATCATTAATTATTTTGGTGTCAGCAATCAGGGAGTTGCTTACAACAACAGGCGTGTGCTGGCATGTGATAGATGTGTATGAGATCTAGCGTGTGCATTTTGGCGTACATTTCGCTGTCTGTGTGCTCTTCTCCAGTGTGCTACGACGCAGCAGAGGACACACTGGATGGACGAGATCGTACGCTGCTCCAAGGTAATGCCTAGGTGCTGTTCAAAACATATACCAGAAATAGCCAGCAAAACAAGCGTAATGTACTAGTCCAGAGTAGGACCAACTTAGGCCATCGCAGCGTGTGCTTGACAACTCATTTACTTCATGTCTAGCTGCACATCCAAGGTCACAAGTCTGGATAATAGTGACAGGGGCAGGGAGGTATAGTTGTGCACTTTGTATCTGGGATACTTCATATCCTATCATACTTCACTATGGACCAAAACACCTGTACTCCAAACAATGTCCGTATATCTATACAAGAGTATGATTATCCAGTCACAGGAGTACGCCACTGTATCATCTGCACTGCATCGCATGTGCGTATCACACTATTGACCCGTATCATTCACTCGCACTATGATCCAAGCCTGCTGCAGCCTATAATATTAGCAAATACATCTTCGGAAAATTGTAGTCAATTTTAGTTGCTGTCTGATGATTGGGGAAACCGTGAAACTCAGAGTCGCAGGAGAAACGCTTTAAATCCTTTTTTCAAGTGTGAGGACTGTATCATTTGTACTATGTCATAGCAGAGCGGCTCTCAGCAGCATCAAGCACAACACACACTGCCACCTGCTACCCCCACAAGACCCCAGCCGGCAATACCAGGACAGCACGCACAGCAACAACAGCAGCAGCGACCACCGGCCCTGCCGCAGCAGAAGCAGTCCCCGGCGCCGCACCCGGGTCCCACGACCCCAGGTCGGGGCCCGGGCGCGCCCACCGACCAGTCACGCCGACATCTGGTGCGCCAGGCGACCACGACTAGCGCCCCGGAGCACAGTCAGAGCACCGCCGGCATAATACCAAGCAGAACAGTCAGACGGCCGTCGCAGGACCTGGACGGTGTCGCACAGCAGCTGCCGCAGAAATCAACAACTTCTCCACCCCCACTGCCGGTATGTACAACACTATTCTGTTTATTGCGGTGCTCACATCATTCTGTCATCTGCCTATATGTGTGTGTGTGTAGAAAGTTGGTGTTTGTTGTTTAATCAAGTAGTGTGCTTCACGGTCCGAAGAGTGCTCAGTACCCATATAGGGCAGAGCCTTGTACATGTATTACTACGACCATCAGGCCTGATGATTGTTCGTTTGAAAATTATTGATAGCTGAAGCATCAATCCATTCTAGGTGTCAAGTCAATATAATTTTCGTTGAAGAGGGTGGGTTGGTGGGTGGGTGGGGGAGGGTCATAACTTTTTCGTTCCATGAAATTTATCCATGATGCCGGATGGCCCCTAACCTTGTCTGTTCTGTTTTGTTCAGGGAGAGGATGCGTCTGATCTCCGGCAATATAGGTAAGCACAGCGGGGAAGTTTCATGCGGGCTTCGAAGCTCTCGGTAATGCAAACGTTGGGCCTGGAATGGGGAAAGAGGAAAGCTCTCTCGGGGACAAATTGTGTGAGAAAGAGTCCACCAGGTGCACCGATGCAGGTCATGAACAGTCAGATATGCATGGGTCAGCGCAAAAAAAAAAAAAAAAAAAACTGCTCGATAGCGCTGACCGAAGGCCTTTCCAACTTGGAAACGGGGACTGTTGAGAGTTTCCATGGTATGATAGTACATAACAACTCGTGCCCCAGCATGTTCCCTCTCCTCCTTTAGATTAAATTTTATATGTTGGCCCGCTATCTGACCTCGTTATGCTTACGAAAATCAGGCATGACTTGCCACCCCTTGCATTTGGGCCTACATGAAGCCAGTGTTTCGGCACTGCACCACGCTATGGATTCGCTGTATCTACATTTGCTTTTTCACCATAGCCCATGTTGTTGTGCGCTTGGGCAATCATCACGAATCATCAAACAAGTGAAAATCTGTTGTCTGGATATCCATTGCAAGCATTGCTACAGTACAGCGCACACACACATCTGCGCGCGAGGAAATTGTACATTAGTACTTTCTGTATTTGCCAGGTGCGCGTAACACTTTTAAAAGGCACATGTGGCCAAAGATCTTTGCACGTCTAAAATGTTGTTTTGCTTATTTTTCTTCAATTATGTTTGTTTTTTGCAGCTGGTTCTTCGGCACGATGAATCGTGATCGCAGCGAGGAGATCATTCGCACAGCGTCGGCCGTTGGGTCATTTGTCATTCGCCAGAGCGGCAGCTCCAACAACAGCTTTTCTCTATCATTTCAGTAAGTAGCGGGTATAAAGGGGTTGTCGCAAAAATAGGTCGTCCCTGAAATGAACAGCATCCATTTAGGGGGGGGGGGGGGGGGGGAGGTGAGAGCCTAAAATCGCAAGTCGACCTACACTGTACATATGACATGTACATGCATGCGATTTTCGTCGTCCAGCATACCAAGCTGCGTTAATTTCAGAGGGATGGGGGCGACGAAAAAAAAGACTTTTGCTGTGACCCCTAAAGGGAAGGACTGGACATGGCGGCTTTTTGGACAGCTGAGAGAATAAGCTTTCCAGAAATATTTTGCTTGACACAACGTGGTGCGGAACAATGGAGCGCCAACGAGAGAAACAAAGGTGTACACCGGTCTCCTTATAATCCAGTACCATGTGTGCAATGGAGATTCTGCTGGAAGCGGGGGAGGGTGCGCAGCTGGATCATCAAAATCTGATCCATTGGTGCAGCAGGCCGGAATAGGTCATTTTGGTTGCTGAAAATTGCACTGGCTTCAAAATATCAAGGATGCTGGTTATAAAGTGCTGGATTAAAGAGGGCAGGCTGTAACGTTATTGGAGTTTTCGAGCATGAAGTGCATTGCTTTACGGAATTCCTTTCAAAAGAAGAAGCGTGACTCGTCTGTTCGTGCTGTTGGTTGTTGTGCACTCAGGGACGAAGACCGCATACGTCATTATCTCATTGCACAGCAGACGAATGGAAAGTATGCCCTTGCAGGTCTTGAGGTAAGTGAGCTGAAAACGGGTGACAATAATCACGGTGTGAAAACGGCCCAGTGAAAGCCTAGAAAATTAGTAGTAGAAAATAATGCTGTATCTCCTTGTCCCACCATGACATTGTGTGTGTGTGTGTGGCCGACTGTCCACCCGCCCTGCTTTGATCCTGCATTGGAGAAATACGTTTGTATACATTTACAAGGGCCATTGTGCCGGTGTACATTATATATCATCATATGGGTGTCCTGCTTTGGAATGGTGTCGAGGCTGGACAGACTAGTGTGGTGTATTTCTGCATTGTATGTCCATCCACCTTTCCGCTTCCGTGGGACGCCACCACCCCATGATCAGGCGGAAAGGTGGTTCTTGACCAGGGAGTTGTACGACTCCTTGTTCTGGACCTGCCCGGTACGCGAACCCCGTCGATTTATTTTTATTTTTTCATGTCCATCCAGAGTCTGGGGATTTCAGGGTGGGTCGGCGGCTGAAAGTCATGTCAAGTAGTTTCGTTATACTTCAAGGGAGTACACACTGACATGACAGACTGCGGCTAGCGCAGGCTCGTGCAGACACAGTGCCCAGCACATTCACACGTGTACAGTCATGTACATCAGGGCAGGGAGTCGCAAACATATTTTACGACTCCCTCATGTACAGTGGCCGCACTTGAACGTTCCCGGCTGTGTCCCGTTTGCAAGAGTTGTGCCAGGTTTATGCACACGTGCACCTGGTTGGTTTGAAATCCTAGACCAGACACTGGAGCAGACACTGGAGATAACACTGCTATATCGCACCAGTTGATACTGCAGTGCTGCTCAATGAAATCCAGTCGCGCCACTCAAGTTTGTGCCTTGCATCATTCCGCAGCCCAGTGTTCGCAGGTCTATGGCTGCGCAACGCCCGGCGCGTACTTGAGTGACCATATCCTCAAAATTTATATCGAAACATGCCTATCAGAAAGCCTCACTCACTCTGTCTCTCTCTCTCTCTGTCTCTCTCTCTCTCTCTCTCTCTCTCTCTCTCTCTCTCTCTCTCTCCCTCTCACATACACGATATGCGCAGGATATGTCATTTCGCTCGCTTCCCGACTTGGTCAAGTACTACATCGAGGTGAACGCAGGTTGGGCAAAGCCACTGAACAAAGCCGGTAGGTACACCATTGTGATCCCAGCCCCCCCCCCCCCCTGCATGGTGCGCATCGCTAAATGCCGGGTTTTCCGCATCCGTAGGAACGCCACCACCCTTCAAGGATCAAGGCGCGGATGCAGCTCCTAAAGCGGTAGAGCTGTATAGCGGTATGCTATGCTTGCTGGCATAAGGTTAATTCAAATAGGTAGATGCTACCCTTCTCTACACTAACTTAGATCAACTGGTCTTGGTCCGAGGAGACTCAGACTAGTATGTACTGTCACCTAGATTCTCAAACTCAAACCCGGCAGTCCCCATATCTAGGAATTTCAGATGATGATGTTAAGTTGGGTCACCGGAAAGCATGTCCAGTGCAGTACGCTGTTTGGGGATTTCCGCGGGTGTCGGCGTTGGGCGGTTCAATAGCCACTAGAGTCATCTTTCCAAGATTTCTTTTGTATCTCTCTCCCCTCTTCCGGGAGACTTGCGTGATCAGTCATGGCAGTGAGCAAATGTAAACAGTAGACGTGTGTATTTGTGTGTGTTTATGTGTGTATATGTGTGTATGCATGTGTGTGTGTGTGTGTGTGTGTGTGTGTGTGTGTGTGTGTGTGTATATAATTATATATATATATGTATGTGTGTGTATATATGTGTGTGTGTATATGTGTGTGTGTGTTTATGTGTATATATGTGTGTATGCATTTGTGTGTGTTTGTTTGTGTGTGTGTGTGTGTACGTGCACGTGTGTGCACATGCATGTGTGTGTGGGTGTGTGTGCACGTGTGTGCATATGCATGTGTGCATATGCATGTGTGTATGCACGTGTGTCTCAGATTTCGGCATCAGCGGTAGCCGGTACCAGAGGCCACCGTCGGTGCGTTCCGACTCGAGCGGGAGCAACAGCGGATCAGCGCTGGGGCCGGCATCTCCCTCTGCTACTGCTGCTGCTGGGGCAGCGCCTCCACTTGTGCCAAGCTCCATGCGACGACCCAGCACCGACAGCCCCTCGCCGTCGCCGACAAGCAGCCTGGGAAGTCACCCAGTACCCCCGCCAGGGCCCAGACCTGCACAGGCAGCTCAGCAACAGTCCGCGACCATGGCGACGGGGCCCGCACCCGCTCCGCCTCCGCCGGCCAGTAGGCGACCCGTGTTGACGCGTGGCTCGTCCGATCTGGACTTTTCCCGTGTGAGAGCGGCTACCCAGCAACACCAGCAGCAGGAGGAGGAAGCTCGCCAGCAGATGCGAAGCATGTCAGTCAAAGTGCGCTCTGTGGTACGTGAGGTATAGCTCCATCCAGACCATTCCATCTAGCTTACAGAAGGGTATTCATTGAAGTTTAGTATAATTACAATATGCAAAATTGTATTATACTTACTGGTGTGTGTGTGTGGGGGGGGGGGTTGCATGAGTTAGTGTTTGCGTGTGTGTGACTATGTGTGTGTGTGCGTGCGTGCGTGTGTGTGTGTGCTAGTTTGGTTGGTGGGTACACTTATGCCTGATTGTGTGGGATCTGTTGCCAACAGGCTCGGCTGCTTGGAGGTGTATTGTTGTATCTGCCACCTTTGTTGGTTACAGGGTTCATATACTTTCTATTTGAAGTATACATACCTGTTAACCATGGACTGTTTCTGGCTAGATTAACTCTTGTGTAATCAATGGTGCTAGTGACGCTTATATCAGATCCACTCTGATTTAGCCACCCACACTAGTGGCACGTATTACCTTCACTGGGGGCAGGGGTAACTGCAGTTGGATCCCAGGACGGATACCCTGATGCGTCAATCCTTTTTCTGTACCTTGTCCTCACCCACTTACTGAGGTGTGGTGAGCCCTTAAGTGGGATCATTTTCAAGTCCACCCAGAGTTTTGGGGATTTCAGGGGGTGTCGGTCGTTGGGCGGTTCAATAGCCAATTGAGTGATCTTTCCAAGACTCCTTTTGAGTCTCTCTCCCCTCTGCCGTGGAGACCCACGTGACCAGTTTTGGCAGTGAGCAACAAGTACAAGTGTGTGTGTGTGGCGTGTGTGTGTGTGTGTGTGTGTGTGTGTGTGCGTGCATGCGTGCCGGTATATTATATATATATATATATAGATATGTGTGTGTGTGTGTGTGTGTGTGTGTGTGTGTGTGTGTGTGTGTGTGTGTCTGTGTGTGTGTGTGTGTGTGTGTCTGTGTGTCTGTGTGTCTGTGTGTCTGTGTGTCTGTGTGTGTCTGTGCACTCATGTGCATTTTCAAGCACACGCTTCTTTGTGCCATCATCCTATATACTCCGGCGTAATTAATATTATCAACGCAACAAGTAAAGCAAGTTGCGCGTACAAAACACACACCATTCGCACAGGTTACTTTCTGAAGCGATGGCGACGAAAACGTTCAATGAAATCTAACCTGTGTTGCGCATGGTGTGTGTGTTTGAATGCGCAACTTGCTTTACTTATTGCGTTGATTTTATTTCTGTCTGCACGAAAACTGATTAACACATAGGGTGTGCGCCTTAACCTGCAATAGTGCTCAAATGCCCGGAATGGGCAGAGCGTAGTACGCAAGAGGTACACAAAAGGAAGTATATAGGGCTGTTTTTTGTTGTAACTCAGAGTTTCATGGCAAAAACCAATCATCAGACAACATAAGGAGATTAGAAAAACGCAGGTATATGAAGACAATATGATAATCATTCAACACCTCCCAGAGGCAGTACGCTCTGACGTGCCAGAATCAACATCTCAGGTGCTGGGTGAAACATGAACACGCACACTCATCCACACACACACACACACACACACACACACACACACACACACACACACACACACACACACACACACACACACACTAATCCACACACAGCCTCTCGTTCTCACACACTCCACACTCCCGCATTATCACACCTAAACACATGCGCACGCACACACACACACGCACCAAACACACACACGCACCAAAACACACACACATGCACCACACACACACACACATACACACAGCCTCTCGTTCTCACACACTCCACACTCCCGCATTATCGCACCTAAACACACACACACGCGCACACACACACACACCAAACACACCAAACACGAAAACTGATTAATAATGTTTATGTAAGACTCGGATGGAGAGCCAAAGATTAAATTTAAAAGAAAGGATCAAAATGCACCTTCTGACTACACAACATCTTGCTTACGGTATAAATGTTAGTTTTGGACACAAACTGCGGATAACAACAAGTAGCATTTTGGTCCTCTCTCCCTTTAGATTATGTTTCTGCTTTGTCTCTTATTGCCGTCGTCTGATATCTTGACCCGTGCAGACCGAGTCCCAGTTACCGACGTCCCGTGCCCCGTTTCCAGGCAGTAGTCTGGACGATCGGCGTCAGCAGCTGTTCCCGGCGTCCTCGTCGCCGCTTGCCGACCCCTCCAGCAATCCGTCTGTTCCCGCACGGTCCGCTGTGAGCCTGGGTCAGAGGCCGGTGCCAGCTAACTACCAGAACACGGCACCGTCGTCGTCCACGGTACCGACAATGCCTGAACAAGAGGACTACATCTCCACAGCCGAAAGTAAGTCTACCGTAAAATGGGAAAAATTCCGGTGGAGATTTATTTTCGGTAACTTCGGTACGGGTAATTTTTACCTGCACTGAAACGCGACCTTAACTTCAACAAGCCTATGCTACACATTGTGCAAAATGCATTTTGAATCTGGAAATCTGGTCTGCGGAAATATTCGCGCTACTGAACCGCTGATTTTGGGAAATATCGAGAGTATTACAGCACTGAAAATTCCCAGTTTTACTGTACTTGTGAAGAGCTGAGACGCAAAACCCGGTACTTTCCAAATTTGAGAAGAGCTGGTTTTCAGCTCAGTGTAATCAAAAGGTTTCAGTTCTCTGTGGCTTGAAACTAGCTGTCAGATGGCACCGAGTTCATGTGCCTGACATGTAGGGAGCCGATCGCAACTTGAACGAACCAAGCATACACTGTAGGGTCGGTACGAGTGATTATTTTTTCTTGTTTTACTAGGGAATTCCCAACAGGCAGCAACGCCTTTTTACAGGGAACCCTAGGAACATTTTTGATAGATGTGCGAAATTCAGCTGGTGACCTAGGCGTACGGCAAGCCGGTGGCAGTGCATTCCACCTATCAGCCCCTTAGTAAGACATTGCACTGAAACCAACTCGGGTGTTAGCACGGGGAAGAATAATGGATAGTGTGTGCATATGTACTATACAAATGCACCGAAAGTACCGAAAATAAAAGTACACCGAAAATTTGTGAAATTACGGTTCTCTTGGCGTAATGCAGGTACCGTAGGTTGAGTATGGAAGGTAGAGTAGGGCGTACTGGCCCACGGCAATATTTTACAGACTCTTGTTAGTGCTATACATGTATGCGATGTGCTGCTGAGTCCATGTCTGTGATGCAGTTCAAACTAAATCTGTCTGCTGCGAAATCGACCATGCTGCTGCTGTTGCTGCTGTTGCTGCTACTGTAACTGCTGCTGTTGCTACTTCTGCTGCTACTGTGACTGTTTTTTCCCCTGCTGCTGCTGGTGTCCCTGCTGCTGCAACTGTTGCTTCTGCCCAGTCACTCAAGACACGGCTTACTTGAATCACGAGTTCCGTGATACAGTGCCTGATGCTGATGATGGTCTCCATGACTACCTGGATTTAGAAGGTGAGCAACGCTGTCAGGCGGTCTTGGAAATTTTGTCGAAATTTTTTTTCAGCATGGGCTTTTCTGTTGGCTTCGGGCATCGCTATATGTGTGTGTGTGTGTGCGTGCGTGCGCGCGCGTGCGTGCGCGCGCGTGCGTGCGTGCGTGTGTGTGTGTGTGCCAGCTAGTTCTGTTGGTCGATACACTTATCCCTGATTGTGTTGGGTTTGTTGCCAACGGGCTCGGCTGCTTGAAGGTGTAATGTTGTACCTACCACCTTTGTTGGTTCCAGGGTTCATATACTTTCTATTTGAAGTATACATACCTGTTAACCATGGACTGCTTCTGGCTAGATTAACTCTTGTGTAATCAATGGTGCTAGAGAAGCTTACATCAGATCCACTCTGATTTAGCCACCCACACTAGTAGCAAGTATTACCTTCACTGGGGGCAGGGGTATCTGCAGTTGGATCCCGGGACGGATACCCTGATGCCGTCAATCCTTTTTCTGCACCTTGTCTTCACCCACTTACTGAGGTGTGGTGAGCCCATAAGTGGGATCATTTTCAAGTCCACCCAGAGTTGTGGGGATTTCAGGGGGTGTCGGCCGTTGGGTGGTTCAATAGCTAATTGAGTCATCTTTCCAAGATTCCTTTTGAGTCTCTCTCCCCGGGGAGAGGGGAAACCCACGTGACCAGTTTGGGCCGTGAGCAACAAGTACAAGTACAAGTGTGTGTGTGTGTGTGTGTGCGTGTGTGTGTGTGTGCACGCATGTGCGTGTGTGTGTGTGTGTGTGTGTGTGTGTGCGTGTGTGTGTGCATGTATGTGCATGTGTATGTTTAGATTGCGCACCACCTTCATCACCGCCGCCTTCCGTAGCAACAGGAAGCAGTGCAGCGTATAAGAACCGGCGAACATCAGAACACTTGCCGGCAGAGAACGCACCCAATCGGCCACGCAAGCCTGGAGGAGGCGGACGTGAAGGTATGGTAGAGACGTGCGCTGAAGAAATTTGATATAATGATCCAGTACGAATTGTTTCAAAGAATGTGCTATAAGAACGCAGCCAGATTGCGGAACAATAAAAATACCCCTGGCTAACCCCTTGGAAACAACGTTCTTGGACGCGCAACTCTACAGTAGGGCAGAACGCACCCACCCACGCACCCACACATGCCCCCCCCCCCACACACACACGCATGTGTACAAAGACCTAACCATGTTGCATTTGTGTTGTTTGGTTTTCTCAATTTTTGCTTCTCTTGTCGCAGGCTCTAGCCATCACAGGCAGAACGGCCGTCACAGTCCACTGTATGACCAGGTCTCATGAACAGCTCGTCAGATTCATCTTCCACGCCTGTCTGTCTATCTGTCCGAATGTATGTCCTCTGCAGGTGTGTGTGTGTGTGTGTGTGTGTGTGTGTGTGTGTGTGTGTGTGTGTGTGTGTGTGTGTGTGTGTGTGTGTGTGTGTGTGTGTGTGTGTGTGTGTGTGCGTCTCTCTCTCTCTCTCTCTTTCCCACTGTCTTGACTCCATCATAATAACCAATTCCTTCATGCTAGTACAGCCATCATGCTCTATTGATTACAGCCACTAACATAAAACAGATTAATAGTCAATGCAATACAGAGGCCTTTACTCCATTCAGTCCAAATTTATTCAATGCATCTTAAACTGTATGCACCGCCACCAGTAACAACAGCAGCAGCACCAGCAGCTGTGTGGCTACAGACATTATCTTCCGCTAGTTTAAACAACCCGAGGCTTCTGCATGCTTCGTACCGTGCGTATGTCTATTTTCGAAATTTCTTGAAGTTTGCACAATGAAGACTTTTTGGCCTCATCTCGAAGTCAGACTATTGCTGCATGCGTCAAAACCATGGCAATGGAGAGCGAACAAGTGACTTGAGCCTGCCCAATGAATGCGTGTTGTACTCCCATCTGCACTGGTAATTCTTCTCCGTTTCTGTTTTACAAATTTTGATTTCCACTCGGTTCGCAACTCCGACTCATTGTGGACGAGTCAGTGAAGCAAACTCTTCTCCGTTTCTGTTTCCCAAATTCTGATTTCCACTTGGCTCGCAACTCCACATTGTGGACGAGTCAGTGAAACTAATTCTCTTGTTATAGTTTTTGTTTACGAACGAGAAACCACGAACCCCGAGAACAGAATACTGCATGATAGAGGTGGCTGCAGACGCAACTGTGGTGGTAAAACGGGAGCATCTCCGCCGACCTGAGGTCTCGGCTTCAGCGACACTCCAGTGTCACCATGGTTACATGTACATGTATTAATTTCATGTGATACTAGTGTACAAATAATCTACGTGGAGATAAAAGTTTAATAATAGCTATGAAAAGTATGAATGCCGCAGACATCACCACGCAACATGACAATTTGTTCAAGGTTTGGTTTTGTGTGTTTCCAAAATCGATTTTCACGCTCCGATCATCAGTGGAAATACGGAACTAAAGAGATCAAGGGAAAAACAAAGGTTAAAAATCCAAAGAAGTGTGACACATGACGGGTAACTTGTGGTAAGTATTACAAAAAGTGAGAACTAAAAAGTAAGTGTGACAAACGGGCATGAACAGTGCAGAAACAACTCATGAACACGGGGTGCAAAATCACGAAAATAACCTAAGTGCTAAAACATGTTCTTACACATAACGGTTTGTATTCGTACGCATAAGCCCGATTTGTGTAAGCAAAAAGAACATGTTTTAGCACTTAGGTTATTTTCGTGAGTTTCCACCCCGTGTTCATGAGTTGTTTCTGCACTGTTCATGCCCGTTTGTCACACTTACTCTTTATTTTAGTTCTCACTTTTTGTAATACTTACCACAAGTTACCCGTCATGTGTCACACTTCTTTGGATTTTTAACCTTTGTTTTTCCCTTGATCTCTTTAGTTCCGTATTTCCACTGATGATCGGAGCGTGAAAATCGATTTTGAAACACACAAAACCAAACCTTGAACAAATTGTCATGTTGCGTGGTGATGTCTGCGGCATTCAAACTTTTCATAGCTATTATGATACTAGTGTGTGTTGCATTGTTAAAGAACCTTCGAAACGTGGCCTCTGTTACCAGGTGGCCTCCTTATCCAGGGTCATTTGACTGGAAATAGCATCCCTTGGTCCTGGTTGCAGAGGTCTTTCGGGACAGGTGGTCGCCTTATCCGACTCTACAATTTCTGTCCCTGTAAATTCGTGATTCCGCGGATTGCAGAATTTCCGCAGAATTCAGAAAATGCCGCAGAATACTGCAGAAAAGAGAGAAAAACTGCTTTTTCTGGAGACTTTCAATGCATTTTCACAGCCAGACCGACCTGATTGTGACTTTCAAAATAAACTTCAGCATATTTTGGAGCTTTCAACTTTTTCACCAGGATTTTGCATAATTTTGGTTCAGAATTTTTGGGGACAACAAACTTCGGCGGGGTTGCGGAAATTCGATCTGTTTTTACGCTTATTTTCCTGGCAGAATTGCCGTAGGATATGGAAGGATTTGCAGAATTAGTACAGAATTTACTGTTTTCAGAATTCTGCACAGAATTTCTGATATTCTGCCGCGGAATTCACGGGGGACAGCTGCATGTCCTAAAACGTCTAAAAGTCTTGATTCACTAAAATTTAGTAACAATGGGCGCTTTCGGTTGAACATTCTGTACTGTAGGGCCCAGGTTTTATAATTCTCGAATGAACAGAATGAACGGATTGTGGCAATGTAAAAATGAACGACAAGTAAAGATCGTAAAAGCGGATCACGTGGACCAATAATTGTTGTAGCACGGTGTGTACGTCGAGTGCGTCAATTCTGGTGAGCCAGAATTAGTAATTCCGCCCTCTCTTCAGAATTGACAGAAATGGATTCCGTCGATTCTTACAACGGCTTTTGTGTAATCGAGCGCGGTGCATACACCAAAAAAGAAACTAATTCTAGAATTGACCGAAATGTGTGTAATCGAACGCACCCAATGACTGACTGCTGTCGTTTGTGCAAACTTGTACCCACAACACACTGTGGCGAGCTGTAGTGCAGGGTTGGTTGGATAGATTTATTTAAAGTCGTACAACAAACAGGCATATCTGCCTTATTATATGAAGACGACTTCTGGCAGTAAAGCATTTAAAAAAAAGTAAAAAAGAAAAAGAGAAAAGAAAAAAAGGGTCCACTCCTCCTCAGGTGATCAAATGTGCAAACACAGTGTTGCAGCCTATACATGTACCTCAGTCCTGGCTGAGTGTTGACCAATCCACAGCCACAATACATGTCCAACAACACCACAATATTTCATTTCCTGTAGCCCGATGCATGAGTGGGTTCAGAATGCGCGCTTTGGACAAGCACTCATGGAGGAAACTCTCAGCCTGAGCTGGTTTTGCTCGCGGCTGCAATGCACGGGGTAGTGAACCCAGGACAGAAGCGGACCGGGCATCATGACTTTGCACATCTATCGTTATGCTGCTTCATTACACGACCTGTTTTATTATTATTATCATCGATGCATGAGGAGTGTTGCGGCGTCGATAGGAAAATCATGCTGCTAAAAACCAGAATTCATACCTTTCGATGCTGAGTTAGTCGAGCAAGAAGGGGATTGCCCTTTCAAAATTTAATAACAATAATAATAAAAAAAGAAGCAGCATGCAATTGAATTGCGGCCAGGGAGTAGTACAATATTGTACCACTCCCTGGTTGCGGCCACAAGCACAGCTAAGGAATGACGAAAGCTTTTCGTATTAATTAAAGGTGCGAACTGCATGATGTAGAGTAGAGTGGTGGGTCGGGGCAAGAACAACCAAGAACAACCAAGAACAACCAAGAACAACCTGCCCATTCCGTCTCAAGTCAAGTCTTGCAACTTTATGTAGAGGGAGCAGTTAATCGAGGATAGGCTAAGGAAATAGATCGAGGCATACAAAATCTGGTAATTAAGGAGTTGGGATACCGTCAGTGTATGATGAATAATTATACATGTATCGGCGAAAATGCTGATAGAGAGAATGCTTGAATTCGGGGAGGCTGGTTATAGAGGTAAAATAAGAGAAGGCGGTAGGCAATTCCATAGCTGCATTGCAGCTTTGTTGGAAAAGAGGGAAGAAAAACGCACACCCGTGCTGTTTGGTCTTCTTGGACTTGAAGACAGTCACGGAAAGGTGAAAATGTTGGAGGTCTTCTGGAGATATATGGACAAGTTTAAATAGAGTAACAAGAGCTGATACTTGTCTGCGAAAGTGCAAGGACTCTAACTTCTAAGTCACAAAGTGCGTTTAATTTTGTTGTTGACTCGCCAGCCAGATCTACTGAGTCTGTCTGCCCAAGAGTACACCAAAATAAATCTGTAATATACTGTTAGTGTTACCAAGAGTCCATAAACGTTTATGCACTCTTGGTGTTACTACATTGTATTACTAGAATAGAAATGCCGACAGGATCGCTTTTCCAAATAAACTTTTCCTTGCCTTGAAAGCAAGGACTTCCTGGGATGGGAATATGCCCGGTATGTAATTTTTCGAACCATCGACGACGTGGTCACGATCACGTCCCTTGTGATCAGGGAGTAGTCCCTGCTTGGGATCACCATGAATTATCTGTTTGGCACATTTATTTCGTGGCTGCCTTTTATGCGCCTGGCGCCTTTTAGATATGTGCCTACGCGCGTGCGCGCGAGGTACGGTAGATACGCATCGCATATCGTGCTGGCGCGAACTAACCGCGAAGCAGCCTGATGCCACTCAAGACTCAACGGTCAACCTGCAACCGTGCCTGCAGTGCGCAATGGTTGACAAAAGGGAGTACTAAAAAAGTACTCCTTGGTTCATGCAGTTTTAAATTTGTAGGCTCAACTGTCCCTCTGTCAAAGTCTTCAGCACTTCAGCAGATTTGGCAAGAACAGAGAGGGGTAGTGTGCAGTTGGTTGCAAGGAAGAATCGGGTGGAGTTTGAAGGATTTGCTTATCACCAAGTCTTCGTAGGTCTGAGGCTTGCATTTCATGATGGCCGTGTATCCCAACCAAAGCTGGATGGCCTCTTGTAGTGCCCGGACGAAGCTAACTCCGATGCAGTTCTGCTTTCCGGGCTCGCATGACAGTGGGGCGTACCAAACGCCGGACTTCAGCATAGTAGCCACCAACCAAGCAATGTCGACTTCCATGGAACGCTTCGTTCCTGGCTTTCAGGCTATCGCCACGAGATGGACTCTTTCGCAGCCTGGAGCCACGATATACGACCAACTGATGAACGGAGTGAGGTACCTGGACCTGCGTGTGTCCTACGCCATGGACACGAAAACGAAAAAGTGGACGTGGTACCTGATCCACACGTTTGTCGTGTCTCACCTGGAGACTGCACTGGACGACGTTGCCAGGTTTCTGGCAGCTCACCCAACCGAGCTGCTGATCATCGACACCAGCCTCTACTACAAGGCCGGCGCGTACTGCACCCAGCTCCAGGACTTCATCGTCAGCAAGCTGAAACGGTGGATATACCCCGACACGCACAGAGGCAAGATCACAGAGACCGTGGATGCCATCACCAAACAAGGCAAGCAGGTCATTATCAGTCTCGGAGCTCAACCGTCCCAGCGCTCCTCCCTGTACTTCTTCCTGAGATCAGAGTTGCTCTACTGTTATCCCTTCAGGAGCATTGACACTGTTGCTGCCAAGCAGGCGTACATCATGACGGCATTCGCAGCGTACGAAAGCACTCCGAAAAACCTTCTGTTCCAGCTGACCTACACGCTGACCGAGGTACAGGTGGATGTGATCAAGTCGATCTTCACGCACGGCTCGCTCAAGAAGTTAGCCGACACGATGAACCCGACTCTGATTCCGTTCGTCCGCGGCCTGACCAAGCAGCAGCGCTCCTACATCGGCATGATTGAGGCTGACGATCAAATGAACGCGGACAACGTTGGCGCTTCACTCCTGGTCCTGGCTGAGCGCGTTGCCGCCCTTGAGCCGGTATCACGGCCACTGAAACTGCAGGCTGGCCCTCTGCCAGTGAAGCAGGGAGCTTCACATGCAGTAGCAACGGGACCTGGTACTCAGTCCAGTGCATGGTCGGTGGAAGTCGCTAGCGTGCCGCAACAAAAGTCCGGCAGAAGTGCGCCCGCCCAGCCCAGGCAACAACGATCTGGTTGCCTGCGTAGTCTCGTGTGCTGCTGCCTCTGCTGTGGACGCAAGCCGCAGTCAGACGATGAAGACGAAGCACCGCTTGTTCGCCGACACTAGAAGCAGGTTTCTAGTAGTCAGGCCTGATTTTATCCCTTCCTTATCTTCAGGTTAGAGCCGCAATGCGCTCCTCTTTGCTTCTCTGTGCCTCCCTGTCTCTCTCTCTCTCTCTCTCTCTCTCTCTCTCTCTCTCTCCACCCTGTGTGCTGCCACACGAGAGCCCTCTGACTTTCACCGTACTAGTATAGAGAATACCGGGATAGTTTCTTGGATTTATTACTTTTATATCGATTTTGATACCAAGTGCTCTTGCAGACTTTTGCATATTATTTTATTATTTTCGTACTGCTATTTCTATTTTGCATGACTACAAGTAGTATTGCTTCATAGTACTTGTAGTAGTGACGACGTTCGACTCCATTCACATCTCACTTGCTTGTAGTGAATATTTTCGTACCGCTTGATACTTTTTCATATTATTTTTCTACTTTCCCTCCACTGCAGCAGCTTGTGTATGCCCGTGCCAAGATGCATGCTAAATATACCCGATCCTGGGCGTCTTCATCCACGTCAGTGTGTCTTCAAAATTCTATTTGGCGAGTGGCAATCGGGCCCCGCCCGCCCTGCCCCCCTCCGACTTCACTTTCAAGTCACTTTACTTGTAGTAGTGACGACGTTCGACTCCATTCACATCTCACTTGCCTGTAGTGAATATTTTCGTACCGCTTGATACTTTTTCATATTATTTTTTCTACTTTCCCTCCATTGCAGCAGCTTGTGTATGCCCGTGCCAAGATGTATGCTAAATATACCCGATCCTGGGCGTCTTCATCCACGTCAGTGTGTCTTCAAAATTCTATTTGGCGAGTGGCAATCGGGCCCCGCCCGCCCTGCCCCCCCTCCGACTTCACTTTCAAGTCTTCCTTGCGCTGTACTTGGTCTTTGCTTTGAAACTGAATAGAGGAGTCAGGACAGAAGGATTTCTGTGTACCGTAAAGTACCTTTGATGCGCCCCCCCCCCCCCTCCCCTGCCATGTCGCTTCCCAGCTGGGTTTTCAGGGGGCCGGGGCGGGAATTAGATCAAGGCTGTCAAGCGCAGTACGATGTACAACAGTGTGGAAGATCACACTCGATGTGCTGGATTGTGCACATTTTCATCCTGGATTGTCATGTATCGTGTACAGCAGTCCATGCGTCGGTTCAACATCGTATTTCGTTGTACTCGCCGAAGTTTTTTTATTTTTTTTATTTACCATTAATTTTATTGAAACAAAGAAAAATGGTGGCACGTGCGCACCTATGTACAGGGAATGTTGTAATCGCCGAAGTCGCTTCACGGGCAGAAAATCGACAGGGGGCAGATTAGTGGTACTTTAACACGGTATATGTAATTACCATTATCCCGATTTTGCTAGCAATTCTGTTGGCAGAACGGAGCAACATATCGGCAAAAACTCACTCTTGATATCGGTGTGTTTGCTGGAAATTGGGAAGTTTTGCACTTATACGGTGCACGTGACACATGTTCGCACAGTTTTACCAACACGTGACCCACTTTCGGTCAGTTTTACCATACGTGACACAAATTTTGGAGCAAAATATCGAGTGGCTTGGGCAAAATGAAAGCAATTAAAATATGTTACATGTATGTCATGTACATGTATGCATGTGACCAAAAAAAGTTCAGGGTGAAATGAACTCGATCAGTTCATAGCAAGAGCGGGTTATGTACTCTTGTTCATAGTGACCTTGTTGTGTGCGGATGCAAATTTTGGTGCTGCGCCGCTTTTCAGATATCTTTCAGGGTAGCCTCTAGCCCTTATACTTTATTTAGCGGATCAGTACTGAAGTAGATTGCGTAGTGCTTTGGAAGACCATGCCAACCTCCTCATCCCATAGTCCAAGTGTTGGGACGGGATCTTTGCATACTCGACTCGGTGGAGGCAAGTCCAAAGCTGTTAGTCCGCCTGATACACTCCGCTCGCAGGCACCACGATTAGCGCCCCAGGTACCGTAGGACAGGGCAATGATGACGAGCTGCGTAGGATTTCTCATAATTATGCTGAAGGAAATTCGTAATGAGCAGACGGCCAGTAAGGAGACCCTCAATCGTTTCATGGATGATGTGCTGACAAGGATGGAGAAGGCCATGGAGGAGTATGACGTGATGAAGAAGACCCTGTCATCTTTCGAACAACGACTTGCTGCACTTGAAGGCAGTCCCGTACCCGCACCCGTACCCACAGCGACAGTACTAGCTCCACCTGATAGTTCCGCTCTGATTCAAGAGGAAGCTAAACCGGAAGCAGTACGCTATCGTACGTGGAATCCCCGATATGGATGGGGAAAAGCTAGAGGAAATCTGCTCGAGAGCCCTGAGGGCCGACCAAACCGCCTTATCTTCCACGGAAAGGCTTGGCACGGCGCGTACTACGGGCACACAATCGCGTCCAATACGGATCAAGTTCCAGAATAAATTATAATGCCATCAAAGGCGCAATTTATCGCAGGAGATTTGACCTGAAACTCGATGATGGCTCACCTGTGTACTTCTCCAACGATCTCACCCGAAAACAGCTGCAAAAAAGGAAGACAGTACTACCACAGTACAAACATCTGAGAAGTAAGGATGTCAAATGCCAACTCCCGTACGATGTCATTCTTGATGAGAAGGGTGTCCCACTAGCACTCGACAATCTACCTGTTCCTGCATCGAGCTCTCAGGCATAGGACATTCCTGGGAACCCTAGCTTAACAATTGCCCATTTGAACGTTCGTAGCCTGCGCCATAAAATTCATCAAATCCACGAAATACTGCATGACAATGAGATCCATATATTATCCATCAATGAAACTCATCAGGCTGGATGGCAGTGTCAGCGACCACATGCTCCATATCCCTGGATACAGTATTTACAGGAAGGACCGTTCCCTTCATGGTGGTGGTGTCTGTCTGTATGTTTCATCCAGTCTGAAGGCAACAGTAGTACATGCTAGTAGCCACCCTGAGCTTGAAGCTCTCCACATTTTAGTCCGTCAGGGAAAGGACACAAGAGCTGAGAAGTTTATTGTCAGCACCGTGTATAAGCCTCCCAGCACTGGAGTGGATTTCTGGGATTATCTGAGTGCCCAATTGGACAGTCAGCCAGTGCCAAAGAGTAAGCGAATTATCCTGGGAGATTTTAACACGAATGCTATCCCGCCTCACTCTCCTCAACTCAAGTACCTCAACCAACTCTGTGCACTGTCTGCACAAAATCATCACAGTGCCAACACGGCTACCATCGAACACGTGCCTGGGCCTGGTTCTACTGGAAGCTGGGCTTTGCCATGAGCAGCCCGCAGTCACTGCCGTGGATGACCTTAGTGACCATCACCTCGTAGTGTTTGACCTCCATCTCCACAGCTGGCACCGCATTCAAAAGCACGCCTATCGCAGTATTAGAAAACCTGGTATTGCCGCAATCGACTTCCGAAAGTTCAAGGAGGATGCCCGAGCACTTCTGGCAGTCAATTACAACGATGCAACTATTGATCTTCAAGCCAAAACTTTCCTGACATCACTAGCTGATCTTACTAGCCGTCATGCTCCAGTGCAGCTAGTCATACACCCAATCTGTCCTAAGCCTATACCTCATTCTTGGACAACTGCTGAACTGCAGCAGCTGCACCATACACGGAGGAACTTACATCGACAGCTTCAGCGTAGGCCAGACGACTCAGCTCTTAAACAAAGGTATCGTGCAGCCAGGCGTCAAGGAAAGCGCTTGAACAGACAACCGAAGTCACAGTTTTTAATCAAGAAATTCCAGGATCTAATGAATGACCCAAGAGGGCAGTGGCGTCTGCTTAACGGCATGACTGGTCGTAGACCCACCCGGAACCAGCCCACTGCATCAATTTCGTCGCTGACTGATATGTTTGCGGCCATTGTTCAAGACACCAACAGGCCTGGGGTTCTACAAATTCCACCTGAAGACAATGAGCAGCTACCGCAGCTCACGAATTTCCAACCAGTGACAGAACAACACGTGTCTGATATTCTGAAGTCTCTCAATTTGTGCAAATCACCAGGTCCAGACAACGTGCTACCATCCATACTGAAGAATGGTGGAGATGCTAGTGCTGAGTACCTCACGGACATAGTGAACGAGTCCCTCCAAACTGGTAATGTCCCCACCGTCTTTAAGCAAGCTATCATAAGTCCACTTATGAAATCTGGAGACCCTGATCTGGCGGCAAACTACTGCCCAGTTTCGCTGCTGCCTATATGTGCCAAGGTATTAGAAAGAATAGTACTGGACCAGATAATGAAATTCTTCGCAGATAATGGCATTGAACACGTACCAGACTCTCAATTTGCATACCGTCGGAACCACTCTTGGAAGACTGCTTGGCTCTAGCTGTGAACAGATGGCTTTCTGCATTGGATAGCAACGAATACTGTCGTGTCATCTTCGCTGACATGAGCAAAGCTTTTGACAGAGTGGCACAATCCGCCCTCATCCGGAGTCTACATGACACAGGCATCAGAGATGTTGCCTTGAATTGGTTTTGTAGCTACCTGTCTGACAGAATACAAACTGTTAGAGTTGGTCAGGAACTTGGACAGTCACGCCCATGCTCCCAAGGAGTACCCCAAGGCTCCGTTCTGGGCCCAGTCTTGTTTTGTATCTACATTCGCGACATAACAACCTGTTTTAGGTTTAGCCAAGACCTGGAATCTGCCGATGACATTGTATTGTATGTCCGGCATAGTGACTGTGATACTGTGTTGGAGCGTCTCACTGCGGACCTTGCTGCTCTGGACAGCTACCTTACAGGGAAGGGACTGGTTCTTAACCCTGATAAGACACAATTTCTGCTATTACGTCGCCCAACTAGTCCCTTACCCACCACTGTGTCCATATCATGCCGCAACTCCACTCTCTATCCTGCGCACACAGCCAAATACCTGAGCCTCATTGTGGATGAGCACTAGGCATTCGATGCTCAAGTAGAGCGAGTTTGCATTGCCGTCAAGCAGAAGGTCGGAGCCTACAAGCATGCCAGGCAGAACCTAAACCACAGAGCGCGTCGTCTTTTCTATCTATCCATTATTCAATCCACCCTTGAGTATGCTAGCTCTGCCTACATTAACTGTCTATCTCACCGTTCATACAACCAGCTGATAACAGCCAGCCGTACTAGTCTTAAAAGAATTTGCCCTTGACCGCAGAACTCCCACTGAGACACTGTACGCTTACACCAAGATCTACACACTAGAGCAATGCTTAAATTTCAAGCAATACGTCTTTGTCTTTCGCTGTCTGCATGGTTTATCTGTTATACAACTGCGAAACCTGGGGACTGACAGAGGCTGCACTGGAGAAGCTGAACGCCTTCCATAGACGTCAACTACGGAACTTGTTCGGAATTAGGTATCCCGCCATCATCTCCAGCAAAGACCTATATTCCAGAGCACACACACAGCCACTTTCGCACACCGTTGCTGTCCGCCGTTTCCGGATGTTGGGTCATGTTCTGAGGATGCCCTCAGATGCCCCGCCACAGCAGGCAATGGACAACTACTTCCGTCGAGATGTCACCGGTGTGCGTGGACGCCCGAAATCGAACCTGGCCACGGCAGTCAAGGCAAGCACAGCTGCCAGAGACATGCCACTGAAGACCATGACTGATCTGAGTGGGCTCAGAATGCGCGCTTTGGACAAGCAATCATGGAGGGAACTCTCAGCCTGAGCTGGTTTTGCTCGCGGCTGCAACGCACGGGGTAGTGAACCCAGGACAGAAGCGGACCAGGCATCATGACTTTGCACATCTATCGTTATGCTGCTTCATTACGCGACCTGTTTTATTATTATTATTATTATTATTATTATTATGGTT